AGGTGCCTGCAAAACTTTGAAAGCTCCATCAAATAAATTAAAACACGGTCGTGTAAAAAAAGGCAACACCTTCTGCTCTAGCCATTTTCGGCCAATATAAAAGAAAATTAGAAATTGGAAATCATTTGCGGCTAGTACGCATGGGTTTTGTTAGTGTATAATAAAACAGGCATTCTGAAGTTTGCTTTTAAAGAGGAGACTCTGTGACCTTTAAGACGTTTTTCTTAACTCTCTCGTCTCAGATAGGGATTCTCAAACTTCTTTTACAGTTCTTGCTGGTTCGAGGAACAACCCCAGGTCTGAGAAAAGACACTGGGGTTGGGGCGAGGGGCAGAAACCAAGTCCTGTTCCTGGAATTATGGGCTTTTTTCTCCCTTTACTGTTTATCTATTCTGCACCACTCAGCTGTTCTCTGTTGCACAGAAATAAAAGTTTAGTTTAAAAAGTATGTTAGAACAAAGCTGCAGAAATTGCCTGGAATTTCCTTCATTTTCAGCCATCTGGCTTTCATTGCTTACTTCTTTCCCCTCCTCCACATACGTTTACCAAATCTTTTCAACACACACTGGCCAAGCTATCAAATGCTTATAATTAATAACAGTCATGCTCTCTCTCTCTCGTTCTCTCTCTCTCTCTCTCTCTCTCTTTTTTTTTTTTTTTAAAGGTAGTGCTTTCTGGCTTTCCTTGGGCTGTTCATGTCATTGCTAGTATAAACCAGGAAGATGGTCAGTAAAACTTAGTTATTAAGACTTAGTTGAATAAGAGAGAAAAACTAATCAAATTTAAGTCCTGAAATTAAAAAAAACAATGTTTTATTTCAAACTAAAAGTATATCTCGCCAAGAAATGAAAGAGAAGAAAAAGAGAATTTTTCTGAGTTCTTACTATGGTCTTATCTTAGAGATAAAGAATCTGAGGATCCAAAAAGGTATAGAAGCTCTTAAAGGTCATGTAGCTAAACATAATGGAAAATGTCTGAATACAGGTCGAAATCCATCTGATAGTTTTTATTTTAGTGGTCTCATGGATGGGACAGATTTTTAGGACATATTATTAAGTGAAAAATCAAGTTGCCAAGAAATATATATAATACGATCCAAAGGGAAGAAAACTGTATGTATCTGTTCATGTTCATATATGCATATATATTCATAGAAAAGGGTCTGGAAAGATATGTACCAAATCACTAACTGGTTATCTCTGGGGAGAAGAAGGTTCTGGAACTGAAGGGCATGGTGGTGAAAAGGAGACATACGTCTTTCTTCCTTGATTACTTCTGCTACGCTTGACTTTTAAAGAATGAGAATATTCATGTAAAGTGACTTGCATAATTATAATATTCAGAAAGCTTTCTTATTGGGAAAAGGAGGTCAACCTCTTTCCTAATGATGGATTTTAGTTCCTTTTTGGACATTTCTCCTGTAAACTGGTCAAACCCACCCATGAAGGTGAACAGGATGGAGGGGCTTCTAGACACAAATTACTCAGATGGTGGAAAAGGTAACCAAAATAATTTTTCCTCCTTGTAATTGTAGCCTCTTTGCTCTCAATGTTGATGCAATATTCTTGTCAGATCATGAGTAAAAATGGTCCTATTTTCTTCTTGCCAATTTTGGGCGAGGTTGTTAAGGGAGATATACTACTTTCCATCTCTCCCAACAAACTGCTCCCTGGGTAATGCTAACAATTCATTCAACCTCCATTATATCCACTCTCTCCTCCATTAGACTTTGCCCACTTACTCTTATTTTGGGAAGACTTTGCTATCCATGGCTTCTAACATAAAAGATTACTTTTCCTAAGTCTATTTATATTTTCAATTGGTATTTAAAGCCTTAAAGTTATAGAAGGGACTCTAATAATGGCACTTTCAGCATCATCTGGTGGGTGGAAGAGAGGGGGTAGGTCGATGGACAGGAGAGAGAACGCTGGTGTCTTCCCAGCTATCTTAGTACTTGGATCTAAATATTACTCCTTATATACTTGGTCCAGTCTGTTATGCTCATGTATTCAATAAACACTTAATAAGTACCTGCCATGTGTCAAACATTATGTCAGCTCCTAGTTTCACAGAGAGGAGGATTTGGACTTGGAACTGATAGGGATGACTTTAAAATATAGTCCTCTTCAATAGGTAACTACGATTTTTTAAAGTGCCCTAGAAATGGAGGCAGTCCATGTTCATGCATAAGCAGATGCGTGCCCACACGCGCGCACGCACACACACACACACACACACACACACACACACATTGGAACAATCAGAATACCTCCAGCTTGAAAATACCCTAGTTGCTGTGGAGAGCTGGGTGGGAGACCGTATCTGTCTAAACCTGGAGAAAGTTGGACACACGCTTCTGATACCAGCCCAGCCATCCACACAGAGTTAAAAAGTCAGGAGAAGGTACATTTAATCTTAGAAAGATAGCCCAGATGGCACATGCCCTCTGGGCCTATGGCATTTTTCATGTGATTGGAGAACTCTGACCACACATGAGAGGAAAAGTGGCTCCCTGACGACTGCCTGGGAAAGCCTCAGCTCTTAACCAGGTGCCACCTCTCAGAGACATATACGTAGTGACCAAGACTAGAAACATCATTTCTGTTTGTCCCAGAGAAAATGCTAAGGTGTTCTGAACACATGGATATCAATACAGACCAAGAGCCCACCAGAGAACTCCCTATAATGTGCAGGGTACACTCATCCATACACAATAAGAATTGTGAATTAAAGATTTAAATTACTAACCACGGAACCTTCTAGAAGGTGCACTTCTAGAAGTTTGGTAGGAAAACGACGCACTCTTATGTCCCTACCAAACCCATTTTTCCCTTCTGTGTACATCTCATACCTACTTTCTGAATGAGAGATGGCTTTGCCCCAGCATCATACCAAAATATCTCATAGGAGATGCACCTCCATTCATCTCTCACTTTTAAGATGAAAATCTGATTTTGGCTCTTTGACACGAGATGAAGAGAGTGAGTCATCTCAGGCCATTGTCCATTGGCCCTCTCTGTTGTTTTAATTAGCATCAGTCTACACACACTCAGCTGTGGATGGTTCGCCCAAGAAACCCCTGGCTGTGCCCTGTAGGAGAGGTCTTGCCCGTCAGTCTGACAATTGGCTGGTGGGAGATCAAAGCACTAAGTTTATCTGGAGCAAATGCAATAAAGTTTAGCCTAACAAGAGTTCTTGTCTTGGAGTCAGTATAAAGGTCATAAATTAAGCTCATCTAATTTAACTGTGGTCAGTACTTCGAGGATGGGAAGTAACACCTTGTGTCCTATCCCTTCTGCTGCCCGGGAAGGACTGGGTTTAGTGGCTGCAAATCCCACAAGATCTTCAGCTGGTCCTGGGTGCTAACTTCTCAGCCCATCACCGCATGTGGATGTCATTACAACCCCAGAATGTGGTTAGACACTTAGGCTTGTTTTTAAAGTGACAGTAAAAAAGCGGAACAGAAATGACATCAATTATCAGCCCACGGCAGTAGCTGTCCGCTGGGTCTGCCTATAGACTAACAAAGAGTCATGGGATATTTGAGCAGGATGTGGTGACCTCAGACATAGCCTGTTCGTTTTGCACATGTGGAAACAGAAAGGGCAGCCATCTTGCCCAATGCCACACAGCTGGTGGGTGATGAAGCTCAGAGGAAAACCTCTGGACCCCCTATCCAAGGCCCTTATAGGCTGCCCATGCCAAAACCACTCGGCTTTTTCTGATCTGGGGAGAATGGAGTCAAACAGAAGGGGTTAGTATCCCTTGCCCGGGCAGTTAGGTCCGCCCAACTGAAGAATGGTGAGGTTAGTTGGAGATGTGGGACCAGGTCAAATGGATAGGAAAGAGGCTTCTCAGGATTCTAGGCACCGGATCTAGTTTTTTCTGGATCTAGCCTGTGACTCTATTTTACTGGCTGATGGCTTTTCTGGATGTCATGGAGAAGAAGGCCCCAGTGGCTCTCCTCCTTTCTGAGTCAGAATGGGACACCAGTCCTGCCATTCAGATCAATATATGGGACATCTTTGTGACCAGCAGAAGTACCCTGATCTGGCCTGCAGTCTGTATCCTTTAAGTGTCAAAGGAAGGCATTTTGTTGACTGAGAAATAAGCCACATCTGCAAATTATTGTCAATTCCCGAAGGCAACACATTACTTCTTCCATGTTACTTTGCAGAAGTAGAAGAAATATCGTTCCGAAACAGCATTCCCTTTCATATCTAGGATGTGACCTTATCTTATAACAGTCTTCATCCCATCAGCAGACTTGAAAGTCTGGCTCTGGTTCTTGAAACCTCTCCCTTTGAAACCAGAATCATCGATAACATGGTTTAGCTTCCACAGAGATTTGTTCCAAAGAAGTATCTGCAGGCTAGTCTCTCGAGACAGCATAAAATTGTGTGGACTAAACCAGTGATTGGATTGATTAGATAAGACTCAAGGTTGGGTAAAAAGGAGACCCAGGCAGGACCGACCAATGAAATGCTCTAATTGATTTTATGCATGCAGAATAACACACACATACACTGGAGAACATGCTATAATGAATCTGCATGCTGTGTGAGTACGGATTTCATGGTGGATCCATTATACCACCCAGTCATTCCAGTTTCTTGCGCCCGGCAACCCGTGAGCCAATCCATCACCATGGTGTTTCAGGCTTGCGAGCTAGCCTGAAAGTGGCAGAGACCCTGAAGCCTGCAGTTGCATCCCGTCCCCTTCGGGAGACATTGGCAGTGTGGCACGTGCACGTTCTGGTCACGCCGTGGGACTCATTTCAGTGCACAGAGCCTTCTGGACCCTGAGCCTGACCGTGGGGCTGGAGTTCCAAAGCCCTGCTTTCAATTACATTTAAGTGGATTTGACTAAAAGTTTGAACTGATGCTAATTGGTTTTCAAAACACTGGGTTTTGAACAATAAGCATTCTGGTCTTGCCCATGGACAGCGCCTCACTTGGAACGTGCTGCTGGGTGGCAGGGCAGGCATGGTGCCCCCTTACCTGGCCGGGCAGGGCTCCAGACCGCAGGACTTGAGGAGTCGCGGGGGACGGCGGCTGGTCACACACAGGTTCTCATCAGCAGGCTCCCGTGTCTGCTTGTTCAGGCAGCTCACCACAGCCTCCTGGACACCTGCACACGAATCACACTGTCAGGCCAGAGTGGGCGTGAGTGGGGTTATGAAGTGTGGACAAGGCAGCTGGTGGGAGGCCTCTGTGACGGGTACTCTGGCTGCATGTCAGAGATTGCAGCATGAACCCCGGGGCTGCCCATCTCATCAGGCGTTGCTCCATCAGGGAGAAAGTACTCATGAGCTATGGCATCTGTAAACATGCCCCTTGAGGAGGGCTACATCTCTCACGGGAGAGCTTGCGCCAGGACTCACAAAATGCTTTAGGAAAATGCCACCAAACTTTTATGGCTGCCAAAGCTGAGAAGTGATAATTTAATGCAGAAGGAGAGGAGGGTGAGGAAAAAAAATGGCCTGAGACCTTTACATGTTATATTTTAAATCAACTGGAGATGGTTGAATTTGGAAGGGAGGCTAAGAGCTGAGTTTTAATATCCAATATTCTGTAAACGGCTGTTCTCTTGGGGCCTCACACTGGGGGCTCCAATCTTTGTTGGTTTCCTTTTGGATCTAGTTCATTTCTTTAGTGACAGGGGCAGCTTTGGAAGTTGGAACAAAAAAAGAGAACTAGGAGCACAATGACTATATGCATGAAACACAGTCTTTTCTACATCTGTGGGAAATGATGTTCTCACTGACACTTGCATGTCTCTGACACAGAGCTAGGAAAGCAGGAGTTTGAGCTGGGACTGGCACAGGGTTACTGGTGAGTCTTTCCAGGTGGTATGCAGGACCCCTTATGGAAACGTTCATGGAGCAAGGAAACATTTAGCTGGGTATAATAATGACCAGACATTTCATTCTGGGGCCCATAGTCATAAAAAGAGTTAAAGTCCATGGGTTGTACATTATGAGCCAGGTGCCAAATGCTGACAGCGTGACCCACACCCTGCAATTCTCTCAACAACCCCATGAGGTAAGCACTATTTTTGTACCATTTGACAGATAAGGAAACTGAGGCTTAGAAAGGTAGAAAGACTTGCTAAGATCATGAAGTTGATACATGGCAATGCAGTGGCTTAGTGCTGGAGCTTTTAATAACAGCGCTCACATTTAAAAATCCTAAAAGGCTGCTTACATCTGCTGGAGATCTTTGGGAATAACCTAGACATCTGTCTGAGATCATTTCAGCAAAGTCAGTGTAAGGAAGAGGCAAGACGGCACAGTGTTGATAGTCTGCTTTCAGTCACACACAGCTGTGTATATAAAGATATGTGCATCTAAGTATATCTATCTGGAGCTAAATATTTTATGTGATTTTGGTAAAGTATGTGACAAGACACATAATTAGTTTTATATATAAATATACATTTTCTTGTTCTTATTTGTCTCACTTTATCAGTTAGTACCTAATAGAGTATGACTGCCATACACTTGTTAGCCCTGTTGCTTTTTTTCTCCCATCTACTCAATGTTTCTCCAAGGAGTTATTGCTCCAATCAATAGACTAATACTTCAAGGTCACTCAGCAAGACTATAATTTAAAAAGTGACATCTTAAAGGCTTTATTTATTTATTCAGGAGAGAGAGAAAGAGAGAGGCAGAAGCAGAGGGAGAAGTAGGCTGCCTGAGGAGCAGGGAGCCCAACCCGGGGCTCAATCCTAGAGCCCTGGGATTAAGACCTGAGCCGAAGGCAGACACTTAATGGACTGAGCCACCCAGGCACCCTAAAAAGTGACATTTGAAAGCCAGAATCTGAATCACCTTTCTTTCTTCCCAGATGTTCGACAAATAAAATATTTTAAAAAATCAGTCACAGTATTTACCTTGAGGCCATAAATGTAAATTTTCTTCTTTCTAAGTTTTTTTTATGAGTTTCAAAGTTTAATTTAAATATATCATGGCCAGTTCAGGGTGGAGCATTTGCGATTTATACTAGACATTCAAGCTACCCCATCATATTCTGTAATGCTGGCAACAGGGTGTTGCTCTCTAGTTTGCAGCTGGGATGAGCCATCTGAAATTTATGGTATGATGATATAGCAAAACATTTCACAAGAAATTGTTGAAATCATCACCGATACTTCCCTCTGGAATAGTCTGGCATTGTTAAGGTAATGACGACAAGGTGCTGGATGAAGCGAACTCTTCCATCCAGAATCTAAAGCTGTGGTTTTATCAGAAATTAAGTTTTTGGGGCACCTGGGTGGCTGAGTCGTTAAGCGTCTGCCTTCGGCTCAGATCATGGTCTCAGGGTCCTGGGATCAAGCCCTGAGTCGGGCTCTCTGGTCAGCAGTGAATCTGTTTCTCCCTCTCCCACTCCCCCTGCTTGTGTTCCTTCTCTCTCTCTCAAATAAATACATAAAATCTTTAAAAAAAAAGAAATTAAGTTTTCAATTCATCTGCCTGCTGGGTAATATTCAAGAGATTATAGACATTGCTCTAAAGTAGATTGTTTTTTTCTGCTACTGAACACTATGAAATAGAGTCAATGACGTCAGCAGGAAGTGATCACAGGTCTTGTCATCTGCCCTATTGGAAAGTGCTTCAGGTGTGGAATGTGTGAGGGAGGTGCTCTGTTTCTACTTTGTGGATCCCTAGTTCACAGCACTGAGGTCCTTCTCAGACTGCACAGAACAAGTGTCACAAGGGCTAAAGTTTCTAGAAGGACTTCAGTATAGTCCTCTCTTAGATATACAGAACATGAAGTTTTATTACTCCAAACGAGTAAATCCTAGCTCAAGAGAAAAATCACCTCCGAGGTGGTTGAGTGCCAAGATTAAGCAGCCTTCTAGAGTTACTAAATTCGAATCTAACATATTATAAAACAAAATACTAGGCCTCTGACACCGTGTTAAATGGCTATTGCCATAGCGGCCAGTTGCCTAGGCATTCTTAGGCGGGGCCTGGGGTGCTGAGGGAAGCTAAGGACAGAGTTCTGTCATAATTAAGGAGTATCTGGGACCAGCCCTGTGGTCAACACACAATACATTTTTGTGGCATGATGAACAAAATGCCTCAAGGACGGGGCATTCTAAGCATAGGAGGCCTGGGGGAAGGTGCACGGAGGGAGGGAGCTGGGGAGTGTGGGAGTATGGGAAGTTGCAAGAGGGAGGGTGTGTGGAGACCTCACCTGTGAAATCAAAGCATAGTTGGCCCAGTGGAGTGGGGCCTGGATGTGAGAAGTTAGCTCATCAAGTGCATATTCTTTCCAAACAGGCTAGGATTTGCACTTAGGAGGACATTTTCAATACAGAACACATGTTTAAGTACTGTACTTCACGATTTTTGAGTTTTCCTTTCTTGACAGAATCAAAGGAGAGAGGACTCATAAGGAAAGGGAGCGGCAGGTAAAGACTTCACCTTTCACTCTTGCTGAAGTAGTTTCAAGTTTTCCCTCAGCTCATTTTAATGCTGATTTTACCATCGAGGAGTTCAATATAATAAAGCTGTTCAGGTTCAAAGCCACTGTCCTTGACCACAACTATGAGCTCACGTATGGGAAATTCAAATATAACAAGGAGATGATAGTGGGACGTGGGACACATATCCAAGCAGGTTAGGCTCAATCTTCCACAAAATGGGATTTGTGGTGTTTATATCTGCCAGAACAGCATGATTGTTCCATGATATTTGATGACAGCTTGGGGAAACACAGCCACCAACTGCAGCCTAAATTACTAACTAGTTCCTTCTGGTTGCTACCTCTGCTAGGTGAAAGGTTACTTCTGTGTCTATCCAGTTTCTGCTCCGGAGATAGGGAAGACAATGAAATGAGCTCTACCAGACTTTCGACCCAAAATTGATTTAAAAATCTCTCTGTTAATCCTGCATGCTTTTAGCTGGTTTCAGCAAGAATGATCAAAAATATATGTAACCTTGTGGGTTAGATTTTGGTGAAAGATCAAAGTTGATAATACAATGTTACTGCCAAACACTGACTTCAAAATATACATGTCCCATGGAGCAAAATGATTTTTTAGTGCATATGGGCATCATATGGGCCATATAACCCAAACATATTTTCACCACTTTGGAATTTTCAACTCTAACATTTTAGGTGTAAATATATTACCTTGGCACAGTTACATAAGTGTAGGTAAGTGTGCAAAGTTGTTGACAGTTAAAGACATAAGACATTTCAGTAACTTTACCCTGCCTTGGATATAAAGGATGTACAATTTATGTTATACAAAGACACTCAGTTCCTACAGGCAGAGATCAATTGTGTATCAACCATCTAAATCTTATATCCAAATCAGTTATCTTCTGAAAACATTTGAAATTAAAAACATTCCGCAGGCTCTCTACATTTTGAGTTTTATACCCCTGGTTGATCAGCAGAATGGTTAAAATCTTAAAGATAAAGATTATATATAATATATAATATAATTATATATAATTATATATTTATATATATATTATATATATATATATAATATATATATAAATATATAATTATATATAATTATATTATATATTATATATAATCTTTATCTTTAAGATTTTAACCATCTAACCATATATATAATATATATATAATATATATATTATGTATATAATATATATATTATGTATATAATATATAATATAATATAATAAATATTTATTATTCCATGACTGTGTCTAGTTTTTCCATTTGCTTATAAAATTCCAGGCTTGACTTGTAACTGAGAACCATAACTGAGAGACCACAAGTCCAATTTTTTTTCCAAAGCACATGCATTTTAGACTAGAGATAATGATCGTTCCATTCAGGTGATCATGGAAATTGGGGATAAACGCACACCACCTGAACTCCTGAGTCACTTGTTATATTGGAAAGAAGCCACTGTGGGCATTCGGCTATGGTCCTTCTACCTGACTTCTCGGTTCCTGCCCAGGCTCAGGGATTCTCGAAACTTTATTGAACACTTCTCCCTTTGTGACCATGGAAGAAAAGATGTCCTCAGTGTGTGTGGAGAACCCCTTAAGAACAGAGATTAGCCGAGTTCCAGGAAACTCTTCCAGAATTAGATGGAAAATTTTAGGTTTTAAAAATAACAGGGCCCTCCATTAAAACACTTAAGAATTTCACGGTTTGAAATTGAAAGACGACGTAGAAACAAACAAGAACCTCAAGGTCAAAACTCCTAAATGCTTGCTCAAAGATCTGATGGAGAAGATGGATTCTTTGCTAGTACGTACTTGTTCCACTATTCATTCCTTTTCAAGTGCATGTGAACATTTTGGGCCCAAGTACTTGTGCATTCTCAATAATGACAAAAGGCCTTTTTAAAAGAGTTTCCAAAATGTCACGGTTTACAGAACAGTTTTGGAAGATAATTTTGATTTTTTTTTATACTGGTTGAGAAACTTTGCTGGCAATGCAGAATCTTAACATGCCAAAAGGGTTTTACTGATAGCCAGTGAGAGGGGTCTGGCAGGAAATTAGCCAGTATTTTCTCACCTATCAGAATCTCTCTTGGGAGTAGATGTGGGAGGCAGTGGCATTATGAAATGATGTATTTTCTAAAGTGTAAGAAAGATCGGAACCACGAAGAATTCATTGCTGACTTAAATGCCTTCCTCTCCCTCTCCAACCCCAAGTCTCATTATCACACCTGAAATAAAGAATCACTGAATCTATTATCATTGAGGAATATCCTTAAAGACCAGGTTGATACACACTTAACATGAGTTAAATAATATTCATAAGGAGCAAGCTTCAGGAATTCTCTAAGTGCCTAAAGAAGTGTGCTGTGCTGGTTCTAGACAGGGAAAGAGATCAATAGCAGGCCTAATCCCAGGGGTCACTCACTAGCTGTGTGGTTTCAAGTCACTCGGCTTCTTTGGATCTTTGTTTTCTCATCTGTAAAATGGTGGAGGGGTCAGCCTTTAAAGTCCTTTCTGGTCCCAGGTTACCAAGGTGTTAAGTGCGGTTTCTATACCCTTTTCCCTTTGTAAAGAGATACTGCTTCAGGAAATCAGCCGAATCCATCAGGGAACTCTACCCCGTTCTGGGGAAGAGCAGAATGTTTTGTCCTCTTGGGCCTTGGTCCATACCACAGGCACTGAAGCAAGGACACAGATAAATAACACTGAGTGCTGAGAGCCTTGCCAGGTCAGCGTCAACCGAATGTCTCAGTCAGATGCACTGGGATATATTGCAAAACATCAGAATGACAACTGAAAGCAAAAGCGTGAGCTGTGCTGGCCACTCGCAGTGGACAGTCTGAGCGCCGCTCAGGCCCGAAGGGAACTACATCTGTGTTTCATTCAGTGCGCCTTACGTTTACAAGCGCTTCCTCCCCTTCCACCCCCACACCCCGATCCTTCCTGGACTAGAGGCGGTCACGTGACACAGTCTCCTGCAGGGAGAGAGGAGAAAGGGAAAGGACAAGAAGATGGTGGGGCTCTGGGCCAGAGGCCCCCTCCTTACCTCCTCCGCATGACTCGGAGCACGTGGTGAAGCCTTCGTATTCCCAGTCGTACAGCTCGTCCAAATCCTGCAGGCCCCCAAAGAGGCCGTCCGTCTCTTCGGGGTTCAACTCGGGAGCGTCCCCCTGGCACGGTCCCGCGTAACAGGCGCGCTGGGATGCCGGCTTGGGCCCTTCACATTCGTCAGCAGGCAGGTCAGCCACCGACTGAGAGAAAGACAGGAGCACCTGGCACCTCACGGTTCGCGCCTGGGTCCCCACACCGCAGGTGACCGTGCAGGCCGACCAGGCTTCGGGGATGAACCTGCAGCCGGCAAGCAAACAAGAGGACAGGATGAGAAGCCCCAGGTGGGGGAGCCAGGGGACTGCAGAGCCTGGCATCCCACCTGTCACCCGGGCCCAGCGCTGTCCTGGGATGGGCTCAGGGCTCTGCCGCCCTGTCCTGCGATGGGTGCTTTGGTTTAGTTCATGAGCTCATTTGCCACGGTTTCTGGATTGGTTTTTTGGTGTCAGATGAACTCCCAGCTGGAAGACATTCCAGCTACAGACCACCTGCTTTCTCCCTGCTTCGCACCCACAGTGATACTAGCTAGCTCTTCAGAGCAGGGACTAAGTGCTTCCTTCTCTCTCTCTCTCTCTCTCTCTAAATCCCAGCACTTGTGCCTTCTGCGAGACGCTGGCTATTCTTATAGCAGACTAATACTGATCCTAAAAAGTATCACAAAATAAGCCCTTGGAGATATTTAAGGAGGGTTTTCTTTCTTTCTTTCTTTCTTTTTTTTTTTCCTGATCTGGATCTCATATTCTGTAACTTTCTTTTGCTTTTCGGCTCAATGTGCTTCCCAAGATTTATTTATATATAGAAAGGGGTTCTTTTTTGTAAGTTTCCAAGAATGGAGCAAAGTCTTGTTCCTCACACATTCTTTGAATTAGTGTGGACTACAATTCTTTTTATATCGTAGAGAAAAGCCATGCTACAAATTTAAATCCACAGACGTGGCACAGTCTGTGGATTCTGCATTTGTACAAGTTTGGTCGACAGCCCTCCTCTCCCCCAACCCCTCAGAGAAGCCACACTAGTGAGAATTTGGTTTTTCTCTGAGTTCCTCTATAATGTGGGACAGTACCCAAGTTCCCAAAAAAGACTCCCTCTCATTAATCAACAATGGCCATGACTGCAAAGACCTTGAGAGGTATCTAGGGAAAAATGTCCAGAGGGAACTATGAACATTTTCAAGTTAGTATAATAATCTGGAAAAAAGTACTTTGGAATAAAAAGTTTTTATTTTTCCACGATCCTACTGCTTTCTCACAGAGTCGTGCTGTGTAGGCATGCAAACCTGGTCTCCTAACCTTGATTTTGGCAGAAAACGAAAGGACTGATAAGAAGATTATAGCATTAAATCCTAGCAAGTGCAAATGTTTCAGATCTAGTTTAGGGAAATAGAAGTTCTAGCAGGAAACTGATCCAAGTTTTCAAATTGGAAGGATCATAACAAAGATGTTTCCTGGGCCTGAGCCTGGGCTGTGCCTGGAGCTGGCCAGGAGAGCCAGACTCCCCTGACCCCCAAAAGCTCACGCTGTCTGAGGCATGCATGAAGAGCCATCCCCTAGGAGAGAATGAAGGTCACATACAACCTTGTCTGGAAGGTGGATGAGGGAGGAAGAGCCATCCAGAATTATTCCCAAGAAATTCTCATCACAATGTCACCTCCCTCTCCTGTCTTTGAATGCTTGATCTATCTTCTGGCACCCAGAGAACTTGGGTGGGGGGGAAACAGTATCCTAAAAAATTAAAAAGTCTCCTTCTCTTTAAACAACGTTACCTGTAGGAGCTTTTTATAAATATAAAACCCAACTCTGCCATCAAACTAATTGTAACCTTCTCATTTACACATTCACATATATCTGTCTGGCTCCTGGAATAAGAATTATGACAAATACACAAGCACTGAATGTTACAACCCACGTGTAGACATAACGAAAAATGCAAACTAAACAATTTTGTATGTAAGAAAAACCAAAAAAGCAAATGAAGGGTCTGCCAACCTTGACAATAGTGTGTGAATAATGTTTCTTATTTAGTAATGTGGTGCTGAATTTTATTTTTAAATTAAAAAAATGACAAGATCTCAAAAAGGATTGCATCCTATTAGCTTTTCCTATGCTGGAAGAATTAATGTTCTGTCACCTCTAACAGCCATCTTCAGAGACCATTACAAGACAACAAGGATCATCCAGCATTTTCTGTAAAGGGCCAGATAGAAAATATTTTAGAGTCTATGGGCCCTGTTTGTGGGTCTTTGTTGTTGCAATGATTCAACTCTGCCAACAAGCTGTGAACACAGTCATAGACAATATGTAAGCAAATGGGTGTGGCTATGTTCCAATAAAACTTTATTTATAAAAGCTGGAGGGAGGATGGTAGTAGAAAGGTCTGAATTTGGCCTGTCAGCTGTAGTTTCCCAACTCCTGCTATAGGAACTTTAGTGGAGATACCAAACACACCAAGATTCATAAATGATCTTCAAACTCATTTTAAGTCTTAGTTCCCATTTTTTCTGCATATACAAGTTTCTAAGAATGGCAAGCAGTTAAATTGATACATGTTTAATCTTCCAAAGTGAGTCCCAGATGAAATCTGGAATGTAAATGGTCCACAAACCAAATCCTCTGCTCTCCTTGTCTATCATGTCCCCCACTTTGCGTTTGGTCTCATTTCAGGACCAGGAACATACACCAAAAGCACACAAAGTAGAAAGGGCACATTACTGGAGCCTCGGGAACTCATTGCAATGCTTGAACCTTGTTTATCTTGAAGCATCATTTCAATGAAAATAAATTGTGTGTGTGTGGGGGGGCATACACATGGGCATTTGTCTATTGTTTTTTATTACCTGGACCTTTAGGGTTAATAGCAAAAACAATAAACATCTATTTTATGTTTCCCAAGCGAGAGTCTTATCAAATGTCAAATAGCCTTTCTGGCTTATCTCCCAACCCACTATCCTTAGGTCTTTGTCAAGTTCACACCAATTAAAAATGATTTGGCTTTTAAGCGGTGCTGTCTTCTGGCAGTCATCTTAATTTCTCCAGTGCATGCACTGTATGATATAATATATTCTCTCTTGTTGAAGGCAGGAGATCATATTTCAAAAGAAAAATATCTAATAGAGCAAATGGCCAAGTGAATAATAACTGTTTTTCATACGAAACTCTCCCTCACATCCCTAGATCTCCCAACTCTGTGTTTACTATCTGGAGCTTTCTGGCCACAAGTAGAAAGAAGCAAGGTCAGGTAGAGGGCAGGCAAATGAGCTTGGAGGTCTCCGTGTAAGGCTTAGGAAACTCGGTTTGCCTGGTACTTGCTGAGCAGAATCCTTAAAGTGGGACCTTTAAAATGGAGTCAGTAGGGTTTTGTGTTTTCTTTTTTTTTTTTAAATCATTTTGATGTACAAATATTTCATAAAAAAGCTCTTACTATTGAAGTTTAATTTGAGTACTTTTAAAGTTCTTTTTGTTAGCAGCACTGTTGGGGGATGAATGCAGAATGACTGGATAAATGAGTTCTTTCAGAGAAGGACTTGAACTTGAGAGGAGACCAATAGCATTTCTGCATGTAGTCTTCCCATCCCCAGGAAATTAAAAAAGAAACCTGGTAAATAGATGATTTATGTTTCTGTCTGGTCTTCAATTTGTAAGCTTAATTGTTCATTTCATGAACAAAAAGCTTATCCTTTCATTGGAATTATTACCATAGTCCCTTTTATGAAATAGAAAGCAGTGATAATCAAATTCACTTGTAAAATCCCAACATGGTTTAGTTTATATGTGGCTATTAGGAAGTCAGAAGCAGGGACCAAAATAATAATAACAATTGCTTTATTAATACAGTGCTAAACAGAAACCATTCACTCTTGGCTAATTAATCTTGTGTCACTGCAGATCTTAGCCAGAGTTCGGCTCCACTGTTATGCACACATGGTCTATAATTAAGTGGTTTTTGTTTTCTTTTAAGTAGGCTCCACACCCAGTGTGGGGCTTGAACTCACAACCCCGAGATTAAGAGTCACGTGCTCTCCTGATAGAGCCAGCCAGCCTCCCCTAAGATTTTTAGCTTTATCTTTTCTCCTCTTACTTTCCTCTCCTTTCTCCTATACATGTTTATTTTTTAAAATTAGTTTTTTAAAATTAACATATGATGTATTATTTGTTTCAGGGGTACAGGTCTGTGATTCATCAGTCTTGCACAATTCACAGCATTCGCCATAGCACATACCCTCCCCAATGTCCATCACCCAGCAATTCCATCCATCTCACCCCCTCCCCTCAAAAAAATCATTGGTATTATTCAAAATAAGAATAATTTTATAGGGGTGTTATTGTAATGCTCCTACCAGCCTCAACTCAGTCTAGTTTCAAAATACAAACTTAAACTTACAAGAAATCACATGAGAAATACTTAGGGGTGCCTGGGTGGCTCAGTCAGTTAAACGTCTGCCTTCAGCTCAGGTCACGTTCTCAGAGTCCCAGGATCAAGCCTTGTATTGTGCTTTCTGCTCAGTGGGGAGTCTGCTTCTCCCTCTGACCTTCCTCCCTCTCATGCTCTCTCTCTCTTTCTCAAATAAATAAAATCTTTAAAAAAAAAACTTAATTTTGGCTTAGTTTTTGATATTATATTTCAGCTAGATATCTGATAGGCTTTGCAGATTTCCTCGTTCTCTTTCTTTTATGAGAATCGTGGCAGGATCTCAGGGTGAGAAGAAAGGAGGGAATGAACTAAATAGTGGAGGGAAAATAATAAAAGGCTTTAACACAGACCTAAGAGGTTAGTGGGTGCCCTGTCAAGCCTCCTTCCTAGTTACTGCAATCTCGCATTGACTGTGAACTATTTTACACTCTACAATTTATAGAAAATGGAAAATGCAAATCATTCTTGCCCACAGAATTGCAGATTAATTGTGTCTAGTGGAATGCAATTGTTGTCTTGTGGACAGATCCATTTTGCATCCACTTGTCAATCCATTCCAACATCTTATTTGCCTAAATATGTATGGTTCTTTTGAAATGTCCTTTGAATTGGTCGGAACATCTTCCTGATACCCTCCTTAATTAATGAAGTAGACAAAATCTTGGACAGATGTTCGTTTTATAAATGCAGGAAATCCTGGCTTTTTACCCATTGTAAAATTTGATCATTTAGCTAGTGGCTACAGAAGGATCTAGAAAATAGTATATTGGAAAAATAAAATACTGTATAAGTAATTCTACCCCACATTAACCAGAAAGTCTTTTCCATAAATA